AACCCCCCCCCCCCCCAAGTTAGCCACATAATAATATTTTGATGACAAGGCATTAAAATATAAAGATAGGAGTGAATAGTTATGGAGGCTGAATGACTAAATGCCTGTTTGAAGTTTAAAAGTTAAAAATACTTGCTCTTCTCTTCCCAACTTCCAATTAAACAATCATAAAATCACCTACCTTTTAAAAATCCTGTATGTCGCACATTTTAAAAAGGGGAAGTCAAATGTAATGTGCATACAGGTAAAACGTCAAAGGCTAAGTTAATTCAGTAACAATGTTCTTACCTATTTTCATCCTTAGTGAAAGGAACAACAATAACATCTCTATGATGAAGCAGATCATTCAGTATTTTAGTAGACTGAGATGGCAAAACATCTCCATCTTCATTTCCTGAAGGTGGACCAACCACGTGATCCCTCACTTTACAGCCCTGCCAAACATGTACACATAAAGAGATCAGATATATATTAACTAACGGGAAGAACTGATTCCAGTAAGTATGATAACAGAAGTTCATCTTTCTAGAAACTTTTGGTCTCTGTACTTGGAAGCTTTCTCCGGATGGAAACTACCTACAGATGAGCTTTTGATTAAAGAGGTGGAACTGCTTCTGTACTTGCTGAAGTGAACAGGAACTTCTAGAAACAGACACCCTGAGAAGCAGAGTCCACTGCGTAGGAACAACAATTGTTACAGAACTGTTTCATATCCAATTTTAGCATTAAATATGGTCAAACTGCAAGGTAACAAAAGGGAATGGACAAGTGCCCCTTGCTTGGACTGACCGCTTACACTGCATGCACTATGACAGGAGCGAAAAATAGCTTTCTGGTATTACAGTACAGTAACTTTTCCCTCCGCAATCTCATGCTCCCTCCACCCTGCCTGCCAGGGAACGCCTGCTGCACTTGAATGATCCCAGAATAGTTTACTGCAGGAGAAAGGTTGAGTTCAGAGGTCAACCCTCATCCTGTGCTGCTCTGAGATACTGCAACAACGCACAGTCCTTATTTTGCAGAAGATCTATTTTCATAAACCTGCCCCTCTCCCCCATGTCTTACGCTCTTTTAAAAGTGAACTATTAATGAAGTACCTTTGGGAGGGTTGTAGGATCAAATCGAAGTACTTTTTGGTTACAACACGGATATATTCCTGTCCCAGTGGAACCCAGAGCACTTGCTACACCTGGATAAAGAACTGGCTGCGAATGGTACTGGCAATGGGAGAATTCAGTACACAGGAAAGACTACATTATAATAAGAAGAGAGATGAGAGGTGAGATTACCAATGGAAGTCAAAATTTTGCAACATAAGGAATCTATATCAGCTTGATTACTGTCACACACCCAAAGCTGCAGAAACTCAAGGCGACTTCCCACAAACACCTCCTTTCTAAAGGCAGAAAGCCTTTATGGCACTCATTAAAACCTGAGTAGTCAGAGAATAGCCATTCTAATTTAATCACGTTCTGCTCTAAGCAGTCAGAAAAGAAAGGAAAGCGAAAGTGATGGGAAAGGAAATATTTAAGAGTTCATGAACCACAGCTTCTGTGATTTCAATAATGCAAGTAATTATGTCTCCTAATTAAAAAAGGAAAAATCACAGAAAGCCAGCTGGTGCCAAAACCAATTGGCCAAAGGGAGGGGAGACATACGTCTTCCATACGGTTCGTTCCTGACTCAGCCCCCAAAACTCACCCAAATCAAGGCAAACAGACAAGCAAGTGAAAATATACTAACTTGGTTACACCTTGAGCAGGCCAACCAATTGACAGTCCCCCACAGGCGCCAATAAACATCTCGCCAAGATTTTAATTCTTCATGAAGACCAATTAAATACTCGTGGACTTCCCACGTTTTATCTCTGAAAAAGCATAAGGTGAGGTTATGCACAGATTCATAAAGCAGTTTTGATTCTGCCACCAGAAACACGAGGTGGAGAAACAGCAAAACAATACATCTTCCACTGGTGGAAATCCTACAGAAGAGCTTACAACAACAAGGATACAACTTGGGGCAATAGATATTAAATTTAGATGATGACAAAACATCCTAAATTTACTAATAACAAAGCATTACAGCTTGTTTCATCTCAAACTCCATATACTGCAACTTGTAAACCAAGATAAATATCAAGCCTTAGGGAAATCAGGAGAATCATAAAACAAAGAAAAACTCAATACACAGAGTAAAAGAAAACAAAACATGCATGTGTGAACAAGTTTAATGATACTGCATTCTTCTGCCCTTAGAATAATACCGCCGTATAACAGACATAAATAAAATAGGACGGCAGTGCTTTATTTTAAAATGCAACATAATATATTTCTATGTATCTGCAACGCAACAGCAATTTTGAAAAACATTAGTTATCTTTTCTTGAAGACTACACGCATTTGACATTTCTGTTTCTAAAAACATGAGTGTGTATTATGGACTTTGATCGGCCATAATACCAGTGATAAAACAGCATGTCTCTTTTTAATTCAAAAGACAATATGGATCCAGCACTGATGCATTTTATCCTTGGAAAGAGCAAGTACAGCTTTCCCTGTAATTTTAAGTCCCAGCCTGAACAGCTTTTTACTGCGTACATGCCTAATCTAGCCTAAGAGGACAAAAACTCCTATGGAAACTTTCAGGTACCAGTACAGTAGACAAATAGTACATACAAATCTATTTTTAAACAACTATATCACTAAAGATAGGCTTTTATTAGACCTCTTATTAGGTCTTGGAAGTTCCTCTGATAAATACTTCAAAATAGAAAAACAACTGGTAGAAGTTTATTCATAGTAATTTTTAAGGAGGATGAATATTTGATGTGACAGCATCAAGTCCGTCTAGAATAAAATCTTCAACGTTTCTTTGTTGGCAGAGGTGGATCAACCTTTCTGTAACAAATCTTGTGGAAATGTAGCCTTTAATTCAATTTGTCATTGGCTACATATAAAAAGATCCTTCAATGAAACAATTAGCTGAGTATTTTCTATTTAAAACAGTGCAACCCAAAACAGCACTCCCTAGGATCTTGGCTGCAGCATTTCCATATTGCAGCAGCAGTGGCACTACTAAATGAATTTCAGAAGTACAACCATAATCTCCCATTTGTTCTTTTGCTAGGGAATATAAAAAAAGGAGTGGTTGAGATGATTACTTATACTGCTCTATGCCTATCTACGACTCAATTTTGTAATGTGAGTATCTGTTAACTCCTAAACATGCAGTATTTTGTAAAATCATCCAACATCCTATAGTTGAAGAAATGTGTTTAATATATATACTACCTTATATGAACATAGACAATATTCCCATGTTGATCTATGTTAATTTTTCCTGGTACACAAGGAATTCGTCTTTCTGTTTCTTTAGTTAGCAGCCTTTTACATAAACAACATCTAGATGAAAAAAGAGAGAGAGAGAGAGAGAAAAAGAGAGAAAAAGAGAGAGAGAGGGAGACACAAAACATTGCAGTAAGAGCAAGACTGTGAAATACAGAGGCTGTCTTCATAATTGAAGTAGTTAAACTACCACACCTGTATAATGTTGCTGCATTTCCCCGAGAATCTGGATTTAGGTACTCTGGATCAAACAGTCTCTCAATCTTCTTGCAGAACAGTTTACTATTAATGACAGTAACACAGTTTACCCATTAGGAAAAAACTGAAAGTTGCTTTATGTATAATGAGATTAATAACAATATTCTGATGATATGTAATGCTGACACTTTTCTTTCAATGTCTAGCTTTTAATGTGATTTTCCTAAAAGATAATCTGTTTGTAGCATACATGTAAGAAACGCCCATACAACTGGACTTTTCTGGGGCTGGAGTTTGCTTTCTGAGTGTGGTTTTTTTTTTTTTTTTTTTTTTTTTTAAACTGAGGACCTACCGGGACTTGAAACGCTTTTGGTAAGCCATTCATTAAACCGTCTCTGTCATGTTCCCCTATACGGCACAGTGCTTTCTCCTCACCCAACCTCAACTTCCCTCACAACACCCTGCTCTGCACATGCAGAGCATTTGCCTATCTAAACTGACAGCTCCAGCCTCCTTTGCAGATCCAATGCAGTGCTGTCGGGTAACTGTTTCCTAACCTGGTTGTACCTTACTTTTCATAAAGACGTGAGGAAAGAGATCCCTTTGTAGTCGCGATAATATTAAGATAAAAACCTTGCATCCACTGGGTCAGTTATGGAACTCCTACCTTTATAAAGCATGATTTTCAATATACACTCTGTATAGTTAACTTTTTTCCTTCTATTACGTTCTTTGCTGTCCAAACTCACAGCTTCTACTTTGACTAAAACACTTTTTCTTACCGAGTGCTTTTGTGAAACCTCACTTTACTTTTAGAATTAAAGTGGTAATGTTTTCATCCCTGCCAACTAAAACACTTTCCTACTTTTATCTTGCTTGCCTGTAAGCCTGCCTTAATTGACCCTTACCTTAACTAAGCTAGACTCCTTATATACACTGTTTAAGTAGTATTCCATTACAGCTATTCAGCCTTCTGGCCATCCTAAATTCTATGCCCAAACATCAGAGTTTGCAGGCTACTGAAACCAAACTATTCTCTACGAATTAGGAGTAAGTCATCCCACTAAAGATTCCTTTCCCTGATCCTGGCCTCCATGTGAGAATTCATGAATAATTTGTCCATGTCACATTCCTACTGTGGTCTTTCCTTTTGCTTGTCTTCTATAAAAAGCTCTTTCTTTTGGCTCAAAATTGTAATGTAAAATTCTGAAGTCACTTCATGATACTCTCGGTTAAAGATACATTATATAAGAGTACAAATTGTATTTATTACTCTAGACTCCACAGCGTCTTAGCTGTTCCCAGAAATGATCCAGAAGCCCTACAGTATTTCAGTAGTGTATTACAGTGCAAAACATTACCTCTTAAATTTATCTCTTTTGTCCTTCACCTCTTCCACTTCACTGTGTGTGAAGAGATCAGCAATTCGTGTAACAAGATTAGCATTGATACAATTCATGTTACATGGCGTGGCTACAATGGCATTCATATTTTCATGGCAGTAATTAATACATCTTTCTACCTATGAAAAGCAGAAATATTAAAATCATTTAAAAGAATTCTAGACAAAGCTATCTCAGAGGAATTACTTCAAGCTTCTTTTTTTTTTAAAGCGTGTGGTGTTTTGCAAAACTAGTTCAGTTCAACTCAAAAATAAAAAGCAAGTCTAAGATTTGTCTAACTGAGACTCCGAATTAATGAGACTCCGAATTTGTTTTGTGTTCTCCTCCAAAAGGTCTCTACAGTCTGGAAAACAACTCTAGAAATGTTTCATCTTCAACAGGCGGTATCTTCCAATTACTCACAATTGAGAGCCACAGAATCTCAGATTTAGATGAATCGTCAGAAGACGAATCCAAGATCCTGCTGTCACTAGAAGAAGCTTATTCACAAGTTTCTATGTGAAACTTCTTTGAGATTCTGCAAAAGTAGATTACCACTTTAAGTAAAAAGAAGGTGGCCAAATCCCAAAACATCTTCATTTTAGAAACAGATGCAATGGCTGATGCAAGTCAAAGCATAACAAACAAGCTGTTAGACACCTGGTGATCAGCTGTGCCCTTATGGCACAGAATCCTTCTCTCTTAATACTTACCAATGAATCCATCTTCAAAAACTCAGAAGAAATAAGAATTGATATGACATTTGCTGGTTCTAGAAAACAACAAAAAGAGGTTTTTTACATGAATTCTTTTGATAATTTCACATCACCTCCCTCCCTCTTCTTACTTAGTATGTGCTGTAAAAGCATTATTTTACCAGTCAACCTGTCATTCCATCTTCCAGCACGTAGAAGACTTCCAACCTTATGAAACAAAGGTCTGGTTCCATATACAAAGACACTGTATTATTTACACAATCATTTTCTGGCCCATATTCTCAGTTTTTGTTAACAAATGAACTAGAATGATCTTGTTCAATTGTTTAATTATACTTCTTGTTGGACTTTTTTCTTTATCATTTAGGTGGCCAGAGTAAAACTATAACAAACTGGAGTATATAAAAGCTGGAAAAGGTAACTTCATAGGGATAAAATTACATAACTATAGAACAAGATTAACTTCCATCCCTAGCATATGTTTGCCCTAGCCTAATCAGTCCCTATGTTTGCTCAACATAACCTGCAATGCAAAGGTTGTTTTTAGGACTCTCCTATCTTGTTTTGTTTACATTTAAAAAAAAATAACAACACAGGACCATGAAAAGATTAAAACAAACAAACAAACCAACCCCGATTCCAAACTATATTAGACCTTTTTTTACCACTTCAACTATTAGGTTGTTTCCTGAAAACTGTCAGTGCTGACAGATCAGAGACTTTTGCTATAACGACCAGAGAATCTTCTGCCGCAACCCCTTTCTCTTTCTAATAAACGAAAAGTTTCAGTGCAACAGCCAGAAAGAAGAGACTGGAGCTGAACTGTACCAAAACCACTAATCTTCCATTAGCTTAAGTTTTTAGTTTGAAGTACATATCATAATGAACCTGCCACAAATGATCAACACACTTTCTTTTACCTAAAGTGGGCATTTCATAACCTTCGTATTCTTTAGCGTTCCTTTTAACGTATCTTATTAACCAGTCAAAGATGTGAACGTCACAGTGCACTGAAATGTCCACCTCTTCCCAGCGCTGGGCATCCACTGACAGATATTCCGCAAAGTATTTCATTTCCGAAATCAAAAGGTCTCGAGGACAAATAAAATCTTCTTTGAGGTTTTTTGCTTCATCACACACATGGATCACCATATTTGGCCTCAATTAAAAAGAAAGAAAGCCACAAAACAAGTTAGGACCCTAAGCCAACAAGAATGCCAAAACTGATCAATGAAGATTTCATCTCCAGAACAGCATCAGACATTGCTGACAAGCAATGACAACATTGACATCACTAACAAGTTTTGATTCGCAGAAGGAAAACAAATTGCACACTTATTAACAATAAGAAACTGTTGTCAGATACTAGCAGAAAAGCACAAACGTGCATATCCTCAGATAGATAATCGAGGTGTGATTTAATGGTTAAGGGACTAGAGAAAGAAAACGTCTAACTCCAGTCCCCAATGCGTCCCCAGTTTCTTATGGGATACTACTAAAACATTACATAAATGATTTGCTTTCCCTTTTTTTTACCTTCTTGAAAAAATATGCATATACACACATATACTCCCCTAAGTTACTGAGGTACCAAGGACATTAACTAGTATATTACAGTAATTTTCATCTGCGGAAATTAAAATTGCTTTATAGTGTATTAAAATGCCTATTTCTTAAGAAAAGATGAAAGCTAGATTCAGTAAAATCTATCTCTATGGAAATAGGGTTACCATGAGGCTTGAATCAAACATTATGCTATAAGTACCTGTACAGTAAGATGAACTGGTGATGCACATGGCTATTCGAATCGGTAGGGAAAATTTTTATTTGCACTTTTCACTTAGTTTTCTTTTTCTTCTTTTAGGCTAATAGGACAATTCTATGTTCACAGACTATAACTTTGTTTTTTTAATTAACTATTAGCAAGCACCAATCTTGTTTTATTCCTTTTTAAAGATCAGACCGTGTTTCCCACCACAGCAGTGACTGATCATTCAGAAGAGATCTACAGATTCATAAGTAACCTATCACTATTGCATATAAGAAATTCGCAAACCAGTCCCCAGTATTTCTCTAGCAACCTTAGGTTTGCTTAGGTTTAGGATGTTCACAGCTGTGTTCTTTGTGACAGATAAAAGTTAAAAGCAATTGAGATAGCTTTCAAAACTAGAGAGATGGCTACTTTGCTGACAAACCTTCCAGCGAGCTCACATTTGAAATGACAGTTCAGTTACTTTGTCGGTTAATAACGATAAAAATTTTCAGCATTTTTCCTGCTCCTGGCCTAAGAGCAGTTCTACACTCGTCAGTAATAGCAGTACTAAAGGAGAAGATGCATGTTTCCACCCTGGCTTCAGACAACAGCTACGCAAACTGTGGACGTGTGCATTTCCACTACTATTCTTATTTTGAGTCAGAATCAGAGGAAATGATACAAAAATAACGGGAAATATAAACAGTCAGAACACTGCCAAAAAGATTCTTTGGACTTCTTTCATACTTATTAATAAAGCTAGAAAAATAGTTTAGCTGGTTCTGCCTTGAACAAAGAGAATGACTATCTGACCTTCTCATAGCCTTTTAGTAGGGCTGTCTATTCTGTGATTCCTCCAAATGAGTGCTCTGTCAGCTATATAATCCTGTAGGCAAAAAACAAAATCATCATCTTACCCCTGATTTCCATCCGTGCTTTCTCCACCTTTATGCACAGGACCTTTCTCAGATTCTGAAGAACAATTCCTTGTGGAAGTTGTGCTGGGCCTTCCTTAAATGTAAGGAAAAAAGGCTTCATTAGAACAAAAGGGACTGACCTTTTGCTCTTCAGCATCTTGGAAAGCACAGCCCTCATACTGGGGCAATGTTACATGACTAGCAGCAAGATCTGTGCTACCATAAGAGCTACTAGATAGTCCAAATTCCTGCTCTGAATGCCATGTACTGCAAACTCAGATGGATCAGAACTGCTGGGTTGCCCAGACACTTGGCTGCAAACCCAGATCAGTCCCATCTCGATACAGAGCCATGAGATTTATGCAGAGTCTTCAACGTTTTCCTCTGCGAATGCAATCCATTCCTCTAGCTCCCCTTGTCTTCTTTGTGGGATGTGGGTCTTAAGACTTTCAGTCACATGAAGACTTCTGTCTTCAGGACGCTTTGCCACCAGAACATAATTGCTTGAGACTAACTTAGCTTCTCATCTGTAATTTGTTAGCTGTGGAAATATGTTGCTCCCAACCTGAAGCAGACAAGTCTCTACAGATGTACTTTTCCTAAGCTTCTCAAACACATGGCTTAAAGCAGCAAATTGAATAAAGCGATGCTCAAAAAAGCAGACTCTCTGATTCTTTTAGTCCCAAAACTATACAGCACAGCTTATTCCAGGAATAAAGGACAACTGAGCTTTGGTTCAAATAGGCTCTCTTCACAAATGCACTACAAGTAGTGGAAGCTGGACAGAATACCCAGTGAGGTTAGGAGAGGTCTGGTCACCAACCCCAGTGAGTTCCGGACCAAGAGGTAAAAAAAACTAGGATTCAGATATTAAACAACTTTTCCTACTGTGATGAACGGATCTCTGCAATCTGAAACTTCCAACAGTCTTGCTTATAATTCAGAAATGTCATTATCTTTTTAAAATAATGGGAGGGCACATACCTGACTCCCACTGATGAATACATCTAAGGTCATGATTTTCCATGATTACTTCCTACTCTCCAATTTCTAGGAAAAGCGATCCAGAAGAATCCTCCTCCTAACAGGAGGAGCTGTACTCTTTAAGAGAGACCTTCTCATCTGATGGCTGACTTTCTTATCTTACAGCTGACTGACGACTGACATCAAAAACCATCTGGACGCTCTATACTGTTCATAACACAGCAGTTACACGTTTCAGGACAGTGAAGTTAACACACCAGAGGAAGAAGAAACAAACTTGCACTAAAGATATAACCTATGGCCTTGCACAGGTAGGCTTTAGGAAGGCCACAACCAAGGAAAGACAGCTAATAATAGGGGAAAGTTTATTGGCCTGACGCTACAAGAACCCTGGAAGAGGCTAGGTCAGGCACAGCCTTTCCACTGCAGATAGATGACCCATGCTGGTAGAAATACAGCCAAGTTGTGGGTCCTGGATTTTTAACGCAATGTAAGATGAATATTTCAAGTAAAGACCTGTGGAAAAAATGACACTGAAAAGTTCTGTTTACAAATATTAAGAAATTTATTTTGGACACAGGGAAGTTCTTTATGAAAGAAAAGGAAATAACGTTAACAAGAATATGCAATACAGCCAAATTAGCAGGGACATCTGAACTTTACCTTATATTTTTTTTTCAAGCTTAGAGATGGCTCAACTTCTGAAAGTTGTTAACAGACATACCTTGGGTAAAAGCCCATCCTATGCTTGTATATTACCTTAATAGGCATTTAGAAGGACTTAATAACAGTTTGCTTTATAATTAGCACCTATTTAATAAGCTTTTAGTAAAATCAGCCAAAACCAGAATCCTGCTCAAAATGAATTGGATCTGATTGCTTTTTCTTGAGGTTACTCGCATCTACAAACAAATCCAAATAGGTCGCAAATTCTTGACCCTAAAGTAAGGAGATGTGAATAAGTTCACTATGAAGTAATTAAAGGAAAAAATATTAATTTACAAATAGGCTTTTCTCAGTTTCTCAGTTCTGAACTATCTGATTATTTCCCAAATATTAAGAGGGTGTGTTCACTACAATCCAGCAGAAGAAGATTGAATTATCTTAATTTCATATTAACAAATTACACATAAGCATGCGAAATTATTTATCCCAAGTCACAAGGAAAATGTGTTGGAAAAGAACAGGGAACAGGAACAGAGGAAATCTCAGGCTAAGATTTTTGCACTAGGGAACATTCGATTACCTAACTGCATTGATACTTTTTACATATATTAAATTGTTAACAAGAAAGCATGCACTAATTGTCTAAGGAACTCTATAAGCAGAGTTAGCTTGTTAATTGCCTACTGGGAAGCTTCTAATCTTCTCAATAGCCACATGTGGGTGCAAGAAGTTAACTATTTATTCAACTTTGTGTACGTAACAAGTGTGTAATTGAAAGCTGATATACCCCATATAGAGTTTTCAAATATTATCTCTTTATTAGACTTTAAAAAAGTATTTTTGTCATTGCCCAGCAAGGGTAAAACAGCTTTTCTTCTCCTGCAAACAGAACAGTGATCAGAAAGCTGCAACACTGTGAAAGACAACGTAACAGAGAAAGTTCTGTTGCCTTAAACCTTCGCTATCTCCTCAATTGACAACACAGAAATTATTTACCCATTACTGGAATTATGCAGATTTCTCATGTAACACAACTGCCAAGTTTCCCATTGTGTAGAAAATACCTTTATTTACAATGAAAACCAGATAATAACTATTGCACTACTGCTTAATTAAAACCTCTTACAGGAGAGGTCCTTAAGGTGATGTTACCAATATATTTTTTTTTTCAGTCAACACACAAATTGTTAGGACTAGTCCTCTTCTGTCAAAGTATTACTGAGTCACACAATTGACCAAGACTCGTTATATAATCAATGTAAGAGTGTCTTGCATCAAAAATAACTAATTTATGCTCTAATTCCCATGTAGTCATCTATCCACTGAGGCAACTGCAGGGCCTTTTGCTAGGAAGGAGTCGTCTGACCTCAAGGAATCACCATCTCAGCTTTTAGTCATTCTACACAAAACTTTCTACTTATCTTAATAACACAGCTTGACATGATTGTAAGCGTTGGAGGTTGTGATAGTATACCACCAGGGATACAATCTAGAGGAATGTCCCCCCCCAATCCCAAACGGAAGGATTTAGCACAAACTTCAACATATCACGTCTTTTGGGACAACAAACTATTAAAAAAACCTAAACATTGACTCTTAATCTAAATGAACTGAAAGTGGCTTCTTATACGCATTATATGCACAGTTAACTTTTCTTTTTCAGAGATGAACAAGTACCGTTCCTGGGTGGACTTACCATTCAAGACACAAAAACACACACACATTGATTATAATCAAAGTCAATATATTTCAGAATTACTGGAAACATTACCAGTTATAGTAACGGAATTCTGCCCGATGGGAGGCTCCTGAAACTCTGTCTGTGTATCAAGCAAGGAAGATTTGATGTACGTTGCTAAAGTTTCCACAGGACTCCCACCAGCGGCCATTAGGGGATTATACTGGTTGTCAACAGGTGAACTTCCTCTGTTTTTTAGTTCATCAAATCTTTTTGCACACTGTCACAAGATTAAGCAATAGGACAATGAAGCAGTAGCTTTCAGCACATTTTAAATAACTGATTTTTGATGCAGATATATTTCATGATATCATCTTTTACAAATGAACAGTTTCATCATGCTGATATTAAACTTATAAGGCTTCTTATATATTTAGGGGTATCAGGAAAGAACACAAAAATACAGCAAAACAAATAAGATTTGCCACGATTAAACACTCGGACAGAAAGAGGAAAAACAGGTAAGACGACGAGACCTGTTTCAACCTTTATTTTAGGTCTGATCTTCCAAAAGGTCAACTTTCAGGAGAGTTCCAATTCTCCTTTTTTTTTTTTTTTCAAAAAAAAAAACTAGTTGTTTTACCATTAACATTGTCAAATATTAGTAACAGCAACGATATTAATTGGCTCATAATTACTATTTCTTTTACTTTACAATTTCCACTCTGGACAAAAGGGACTGGTGATTTCCAATGCAGTTCTATTCCTTTCCATTCCTTGTTTTGATCGACTAACGAGTACTTGCATTTTGTCAATTTGTACCTACACAATGACAGTCACGGGCTTGATTCTGCAGACTCTTACACACAGGTAACTTTACATATGCAAGCAAATCTACTAAACTCCAGGGGTAATCTTCCTGTGATACAATTCTTCTGGCTCTATACAAGCTGCTATCGTTTATTATTACTTATTTATTTAGACTGAGCTAACTGATACATTACTGCATGCCACCTTCCCTTTTCAGAGGGGCACGTGCAGTGACGTCCCTTTGACACTAAGGCAATGTCTCAAATTTGTGTAACAATGCCAGTTTACTAGATTCAACAGACACATGAAAGCACCGGTCTCACTTCACTTAACTGCCTTAAAGACACTTTGTTCTTTTAAAACACAGTAACCAGACATGTACAAATCAATCATACTATCTTCATATAAGGAGAAAGCTCACTGATGCTTTATAATTATTTTGTTTGCTCAAGGTGCGCAGTATTCTCTCCAAAGTGGAAGTTGAACAGCAGTGCCCACAAAAAAATTAAACCCTTTGCCAAGCGCTTTTGTCAGCTTGCAAGGCAGTAACATTCCACGTAAGTGATTGTTTGGGGAGCAGGAGCTTATGTTCTAAATACAAGGTCACAGTGAAGCCCGCTAGCAACGCTACAAAAGCGAGCTGACACATTTGATTAAGTTTGCAAGAAAATACAGACTGTTGGCTTGTTTTTTCCAGCCTCACTGAATCACAAGGGCAAAAGACATTTTCCTCCTCATCTCAAAAGCATTTAAGTGAGTATAAGTTACCTTCTCTTGGTTTATTTCACCTCAGAACTCAAAAATCCAAAACTATTATTTTGAAAAAAAAAAAAAAAAGCAAGCAGTTTATCATGAAATTCAGCAATCTAGAAAGATTAAGTATCCAGAGGTGGAAAGTTCTTGCAACACCTATTCCAATCAGAGAAAGAGTAAGCCACTTCTTGTAGGACTAAGCAAGAGGCAGTTGCACTCCTTTTATTATCTAGCGGAGGTTTATAACTCGTACTTCCTCAGAATCCTATTGCAGGTAATGTCAATCAAAGGAAATTGTTAGGTTTGCTAGTAAAGTATACTACAATCTGCATGAAGTTAACGAGTACTGTCATCCTTTTTCACAACTATGTAATTTGAAACATACTAGTGCACTTACTCTTTAATTTTTCAAATCTACTTTTTAATTGTTATTAAAATAATTTTTCAGTAGTTTTTATTCTTATTCTGTATCAGTTCTGAAGAAATACATTCTGTGTTCTTATTACATGAATGTAATGTTCAGGTATTGTACAAACAAAATATTTTTTCAATCTACTTCTCATTTACCATTTTTAGTTTAAATTATTTTACCAAAAAAAAAATAACCCTTTAACTTCCATTTCCCTCCCTCCCCAAAGAAAAGCAGCTTTCTTCTTGATAGAGTACTGTATATAGCATGCAGATTCCTTTTTAGTAAATTCACCTCTTTGGATGTAAATCCTGGAACTAGCCTTGCCACACTGTCCCAGTTGATAGGCTGAGGAACACCAATTAGGGAACACAGGATCATATCCAAAACCATTTGGTTGTTGTCATAAGGAAAGTTATTGTTTTCTGAAAATCCACGACTCATCTTTGGTTACTAAAGCCTAGAAAAGAAAACATTATTAGAAAGTACACACAGAGACTTATGCACTTAAATAACGCTCCGATTTCAGAGTAACTGCATAATTTGTTAAAGCTTAATGTATGTTAATTGCAGAACTCCATAAATTACTACAGGAAATATTTACTACAGCATTGCAGTCAAGTACTAATGCTGTAACGGTTGCATTCGATATATTTTTACATCCTCAGCTTCCATTAGGGAGAGGGGGGCAGAAAAGGCAGACATGCAGAACGCACCAAAAAAACAACTCAAGAGCAGCAGATATTAAAATTTTTTTCAGTTGTTTCATCATAAAAGAACAGAAAAATCGATTTGCATATATACTTGCATATATACTTTAAAAAAAAAAAAAAAAGCCATGGACAGTTGCAAGAGGCAGATGTTTTCAAAAGTGCCAGCTTCTAGAATTAAGGAATCTATAAAAACAGCATGCAAACACGGAGGTTTTCTTGCAAACTAAACGCAGTTTGACTTAACAAAAGCTAGAGGAAAAATATTCCCGAACGAGAAAGCAAAGCATTGTTGTCAGTTTTCCTTTCCCTAAAGTCTGGATCAAAGAGCAGGTCATGAAGGACAATTGAGAAAAAAGGCTGCAAAGGCAGAAACTGCAGGAACCGTTAAGTCCAAATCCACAAGTTCAGAAGAGAAGCTGATCACCTCTTTGAAGAACATATGAATAGGTAAAACTATGAGATAAAACTGGAAGCAATCACAGTAGATTCAATAAACAGTATCTGTAAGGCACGTTGATGAGATTCACTAACAATGCAAAAAACCCCAGAACACTGCATAAAAGATCAAGCAGTGACAATCTAATCCAGCAAGAATTTGAACAGGTTCTTTTTCTGGAGTATTTACTTGCTCGTACATGTACCAACTAGACACTAATTCTGTTTACTCACCCTTGTGGCTCTGACAAGCATGCACTGGCAAACATGCAGTTTTATCATCCCAAGTATCAGTCACATACTTCTGCCCAAGTTTCGCCCTCTACAGTTGATGTAACTAAACAGAACATGTGCCCATCCCTCCACCATTGGACATCACAATCCAATATAATAGCTTGAAATTATTTTAATTTGTGATTTAAAAATAATACCCACTGTAGTTAAGAGACTAGTGTGAAGTACGCCAACTTGCATTCTGCCTCATCTGCTCTGGCAGTTAAAACTGCATCTAACCCCACCAAAGCATTGAGACACCTAGAGCTAGACCCTGGGAAAGAAATACATATTTCAACCAGTTGCTAAGTACCTGGTAACCGAAGAACTCTCCTGGGACATGGAAGTATGAGTTTTAGTCCTTTTAATCCCTTCACACAAAGGGGGAACCGGAAAATACAATATCCATCTCTCATTCAAGTTCTTAAATCCAGGGGTGGTAATCACTTTCACAAACTGCCACAAAGTGGTAAGCTGAAGGATTTGCTAGGAATCAGTGTAGTAAATGTTTAGGATGATATACTACCACAACTACCTTCCTCCTTCGCAGTTTTGAAAGAGAACTATTGAGTATCTATTGCCTGGAGGGACTCGTACCACTGAGCCCTCTAGTACCAAAGGGAGCTTGCTACAATCTCTGAGTAAGCAACCAAAGTTACAAGAGGGAAAAATTATTTAAATACACTTCTCTGCTGCCCAAACTTTCTACTGCTCAACTTTCTTCTCTCGCTCAGCATATTTGTTTTGTAAATCTGACTCCATTATACATGGGCCAACTCAGGGCACCCAATTCAGGGCCATTAACGTTATTTTGGAGCCAGGAAGCATGAAACCTGGACGTCTTTCAACTCATCCTGAAGACCTGACTTTTTAGTTGTCCCAAAATAGTCACAATTCCCATTTACTAGGGATTTCCAGGGCTGAGAAGCTTAATTCTTCCTGTTTCAAGCAGAACAACAAAGCATATAGGACAGTAGTGAACACTTTAAAAATGCAGCGCTCCTAATTTGAAAAAACGTTTAGTTTCTTATTATCAATTTTATTATTAATTTTTCTATGTATACCATCAGGGAACACAGTAAAAGTTCAAAGTACTCTCTTAGCATATGCTGATAGAAAAGGGCAGGCATTTATCAAGACTTTCAGATGCAACTAATGTACAGGCAAGATCTCAAGGACTCATATTTGGAAAGCCCTTAGGACCTTTCTCGAAGTACCTTAAACAGATCACAAAAACAATGAGGTCTAAAATTCACACGTAAAATTCTGACTTTTAATGTATAAAGCAAGAATTATAGAGAATTTCAGGGAAAACATACTTGCGTATTAGCACATTTAACTGACCACTAGTTACTAAAAGGATATGACATGTAGTTGTTTCTTTTGCCTCACCCTCTTTCCATGCAGCTAAAAGGAAAGACTCTTAAAATATATAAAATAGCATTGTTTGTAAAAGCCATTCTAGCTTTTTTTGGTTTTTATTTTTACGAGTGGAAACAGAAGTCACAATAGCAAATAACTTTTTATCCTCTCAAAAGAGCAGCTGACTGAAACTATCAAGCTAAAAAAAAACCCCAGAAACTCACTAAGATAATTCTTAGGTTTTGTATATTCGTGGGAGATAAGAGAGTGCTCTATTTTGTGCTTAAGAGCTTCATTTTAGGAGGATAAGTCAATTGGATAAAAGTCACAGCATTTTAGCAATTCTATCTAAATGGCATCTGTTGCAAAACACGTCAAAGAGTGAGTTTCGAAGGTCAAAGGTACTTCACAGACAACATGAGCCCAAACTTTGCAACTAAGAAAGATGCTACTATGAGGTAAAGGCAGATTAGCCTCTACATTGAGTCATTAGCGCTTATTCTGATAGTACTGCCGAGCGCACCACTGTGATGATTCTATGGTGGAGGCGTCTCTCCATCAGTGCACAGACGGAAGTCAGCATCAATTCAGTTTAAGCCCCTGGGTATCTACCATGTCTGTTCTGAAAAGGGATGACAAGGCCAGAACAGGTCAGCAGCAGCGGCAAAACTGAGTGGTTAGGAGATAGGAAGACCACTTCTCATGGCATCTTATTTGCGTGTAGCAAGCGGTTTAGAAGTTATGCTTGAATGAGGGGACCTAATGTATGATCTCTGAGCTCAAGACACAAAACACACTTAATGAAAATAAAATTACTAATGGTGCTGTTACTTTATAAATCTCCATCTTAAAGTTTAGTCCTAAGATATGATCACACTGGGTAATCCATCAAAGAGAAAAAGAAAAGTCATTATTTTGCAACAGCTAAGTTTATAATTTAATGAAGAAAAAAAAAACAGAGCAGGTTTTAAACACTTTACTGGTAACAAATTTATGCATACATCAGCACTGTGCACTATGAAGCAACCAAGCCATGCAAAGATGACAGGTACTCTAAAACGTAATGACGCTTTCAGAGAGAATAAAGCCTTCATCGCTCAGATATTTTTTTTATCCACTTATTCGTTTGTACATTAAAATGCAGTTACATATAGAATCACTACTGCAAAGACGAACAAGGGAGCACGCTTATTGCAAGCATACAGAATCAAGTCTTTTTATTTACTTCTGTTCTGGAGATAGCCCAGAACTCCTCTTTGGGTCTTTAGATCTGATATTTAACATTGTTTTTTTCTCCTTTAGGAAAACCTGCAAGAAGGATAGTTAAAAACGTATGCAAGACTATCTGTCATGCAAGAATGCACTCACTGTAAGAGCTGCAATGTAAGGCCTATAATTAATCTGACTACTAGAGAGGTAACAACATCAGCTTCTCTCCAGTTTGTTTCTCCAAGAGAAGGCCAGCCTACCGTTTTCCTCAAGCCAAGGAAACTGGGAAAAACGTTTCAGAACTGCTTAATTTTGATCAACTCATTATACACACACAGTGTAGAAAGATAAGTGACAGTTTCAATAATTTTCGCCAGCGCTTCAAACTCTAAATTACGTGGCATCTCAACTAAGCGGCATTAAGTTCCATCACTTTTAAAACGTTTCATAACACCAGTGTTTTAAACAAAGCCTTAACCCATCATCACGCAGCAAGTTGGTTTGCATTATGGAAACGTACCACCTCATTTAAAAGACTGTTATTTAAAAAACAAAACAAAAAAAAAAAAAAGAAACAAAGCAAAGCACAGAAACGACCTAAACCGAGGAGTCGCTGCCCCCGCTGCTGAAGAAGCCGCAGGCAGGAGAGGTGGTGGGACGGGCACGACGCTTCACACACAACCCTTAAACGCAACGCAGCGATGGGGAAAGCGGGGAAGGGGGAAGAGAAACTTTGACCATAGTGTGCTTGCACACTGTGCAAATCAAAAATAAAAAATAAAGCCAAAGTCTGATCTGTTTTCACTTAGAAATATGTATATATTTGGGGGGGGGGCACCAC